GTTCCCTCTTCGATTCGTTCATTCATTTCGGTCATAAATTAGTACTGTTGGCCTTTGTCAGGAAGTCAAACCCGCCATCAGCTTGCTTATTATCAACTCTCCCTCGAAAGAGAGAGCTATCGACATCCTTGCCAGTGGGTGTTGTTATTGGTGTTTGCTACCACTCAGACTACTCCCTGAATGCCTCCACTTCTCACTACCACTCAAGCTACTTCCTGAGTGCCTCCACTTCTCATTGAGTACAAATACGGCGAGTGTTTTTGACTGCTTTCACAGCACTGTCAACAAGTGGCTGTTTGATTTTTTCTCTGCGAATGCGTTTGAAGGTTTTGTTATAATAATTAGTAATAATGGCATTAATAACAACAATAATAATAATAATAATAATAATAGTAATAATGAAAACAGAAGTTATGATGGTAATAATGACGTTAATATTAAAACTGATATTAATAAGAATAGTAATAGAAGCATCCTTCTGTTAGTTGGATCTGCTAAACACTTCAAAACTGTGGCAGTTCTTGAAGGTACCGTTTGTCCCATCAACGATGGGCACTTCAAACTACGCCAGTACATTTCTTCAAAATGCTTGCTATTGAAAGGGCAATTTTCGTGTTGTCCACAAGGTAATGCGAATGAAAATCGTTGCAGCTGGAACGACAACAAGAAAATCTGCGGGCAGTGTTATATCCGTTGAGGAAAAATGATTGGCCAAGCCGTTTGCAATCGGAGCGCATCGCACTGCTCAGCATCACTGCGTCCATCAATGAGTTGAAGCAAAAATTGGAAGCAATTGTGGCGTAAATTTTTCTTGTTCTGTCTCATTTCCCAAAATATTTTGTATAAGCGAATATTCCAAAAGATTGTCCATTTAAATTACTTTAATAAAATTTGCTAAACTTTGACATAGAAATGAGCAGTAGTTCGCGTTTTTGGTCAAAATGAGCCTCTTTTTTTTTTTTTTTTTGATTCGTACCTTGAAGAAATTTGTTTCAGCGAGATTCGACAGCGGACAGATGAGGAACGCGAACTGCAGCTCAGTGTCTCAGCAGTGGAAGAGGAACTCAAGCAGCTGCAGGAGCAGGCATCA